TGAGCTGCTCTCTGCCCATACATCTCGCGGCAGAGGCGTGTTTCACTGCAGCTGTGACACACGGTGCGCCTCATATTGCAGTTGCCTGCTCACTGCAGGTCCACAGCGGCTGTTTCCCGTCTCAGTGTTGCAGGAGCCCGGGCGAGCGGGTGGGCTGGCAGCCACCTCTCTCTCTCTCTCTCTCTCACACACACAGTGACAGAGCGCTAAACCCCCCGCTCTCCGCGGCAGCGACCAGCAGCACGGCAGCCATTGCTGACACTCACGAATGCCCGCGCTCAAAGTTCCTGACAACGCGTCCCACGTGACGTCTGTGGGCGTGGCTCCCGCAATCTCCGGCGGCCCCCTGCCCGTGCGCGCTCCCGCCCACTCTCCCTCCTCCCCCGGCGGGCCCGCGGATGACGTCTCTTGGCTGGAGGTGCTGGGCTTCCTGGGCAGGCTGCTGGGTGCAGTCGCCGCGCTGAAGGCAGGAGAGTATTTGCTCCGTGCGCTGTGTGCAGCCATGGCCTGGAAGTCAGGGGGAGCCAGTCACTCCGAGCTGGTCAACAACCTGCGCAGTGAGTGTGCAAACACAACCACTGACACACACACTGACACACACAACCACTGACACACACTGACAGCTGATATTAATAGGCATTAGCCGTGCTTATAATAATAATAATATACAAGGCTTTATTGTCATGAAATGGCGGTTACTCCCACTCCGTGCCCGGTATGTGCACACTGGCGGCATGGTCTGATGGACGGTGTGTGCCCCGGCCTGTGACGGTATGAAGTCCCCGATGGGAGCGCACAGCGCTAGCGGTTACCCTGTGTGAGCCCAGCTGGGGGGGGTCGGTGTGTCAGCCTGCCTGCCAGCCTTAGTGCTGTTTGGCCTGGCATCATCAGCTGGGCTGTCAGTTATTATAGAGAGCGGTGACTGGGACTGACAGCTCAGGCAGTTTAATAAAATAAAGCACTGACCCCCCCCATGTCCATCTAATATTAGGGTTTCTAAAGAAAAAAAATGGTCATGGTCGAGCTGTAACTTTGTAATGCTGATATAATATTGAAAACATTTACAAATGTGATCTCTTTAGTTACCCTTCTTCTATGATGACATGGTGTATATAGTAAATGCTATTTATTGTACACATGGTTTTATGTTAACACAAAGATTTATGAGCGTAATTCCTTCACATTTATTGGTAATTAGATCCATCCTAAAAATATATATATTTTTTTTTTTTATGCAAAAAGCAAATATCTTTTATTGCACTAACCATTAATTAAAACTAGTTCCAAAAGGCCTTATCTGAGCTACCCATGGGAGTAACTGTGTATACCTGCATGTTTTTCCCACATGAGCAAGTAGTGAATATTTATATCTACCATACTGCAATATATATAAATATATATCTATATATATAATTTGCAGCACACAGAGGTCTTCCAAAAAAAGTCTTTACTTATACATGTCCAAAAATTGAAGTTTCTACCCTATAGGGTCATTATCAATACCATGATATTAACCCTATAGGGTCAAAACGTTGATGTAAAGACATATTTTGTAAGACTTACAATGCAAGTCCTCTGGGTGCTTCCAATTATTATGTTTATTCATATTTGCATGGGTTAGCACCTAGGCATATTGCAGAATATTTTTTTTTTTTTTGATAGCTGGAGCTTTGTTTGTGTTTATGTGTGTATGTGTGTGTGTATATATATATATATATATTCTTTATTGCGCTTCAAGAAACAATACTGGAGATGGTGCATATACTTAAAGGCCCAAAGCAGCTTTGGCTTTGTTTAAGGGAACATAAGGATCTCAAGACTGCAAATGAGCTCTTGGGGCTGTTGACATCAGAAACTCTACCTCACTGTTCAGCCCTTAGTACACTTATCAATGGTGCCTGTATTCATTACCATATTATATTGAGGTGTAAATATTTCTAATTTAAGCAAATTAAACTGTTTAACAGAGTTCACTAACTCCTGAATCTATCTACCATACTACCAACACATGCCCTCTTGATCATATCCCCTTGCATCTTAGGACATAACCAAAAGGCAATGACTAAGATATCAACCACTTTCATTTTTTCACATTCAGTGAATTCCAGATCCTGTTGCTTCCATCTTAAAAGCATAGCCTACCCTATGTCAACCGTTTCCTAATACCAGATAAAACGAAAATGCTTCACCACACTCTGATTATCTCCCACCTTGACTAATGTAACCTGCTCCTCATTGTTCTTACTGAAGTCCAAACTGTTTACTTAAATCCATAATGTGTGTTGTTGCAGCTTCATGTGCCTCTCCTTCTATTCTCTAAAAAGTCACTCTTCTTAGTTTTTAACCTGGCCCCCATATGATTTTGGTTAATTTCCCAATTGTATTTCTTGGCTATAAAGCTCTCCTTAAAAGCTCCTCAATCCACACAACCTCACTAATAAGCATGTCCTGTCCTCTCCCCTATGCAAAAAATGTATACCTTCCCTCAGTTTGCACCTTCACATCCAACTACGACTGCTCGTTGAGATTGAGCATCCTCTTATTTTGAGCTGCAGGCTTGTGTGCAGATTTTCAATTAATAGACGTCTCATTGAGCTACCATACAGATCAATGAGTAGTCTTAGCTGGTCAAACACAGTTGCATGCTTTGACAGGCACATCAAGATTTGGACATCAAGACTTTGATGAGAAGACAGATGCACTGTTGCAGAGCGCACCTCCCACTTCCGTTAGCTCTGTGAAGCTAATGGAAGCTGAAGATAACCTGAGTGACATTCAGGGAGATGTTTCTGCAATGGTTTATAAAAGTAATTTCTATTTAAAGCACTTTTATGAACTGCAATTAAAATAGAATGATCCTGACACACAAAGCACTTCAGGTTTATGTGTGAGGAGCGTTCCTTTAAAATGTCATTAAAACTCACTTTTTTAGAGAGGCATCTCAACTAACAAAAATAGAAAATTTGACTCCAAATTTACCAATATTTTCATTTCCTGGATATTGGCCCTTGGCAGCACTACATATGGTTTAGCTACCAAATTGGGCAGGAGTACATAATTAAAACAAAAAGAGTCGCCTCCTCCTACCCCTCAATCTCAGTACAAAGCCACAAACAAGAAACCAAAAGGGCTGGGACTGTAGTGCTGCTCTGATGACCTATATCTGGGAAATGAAAATATTGGTAAGTATGGAGTAAATTTTCTATTTTCTTGAATATATCCATGGCAGCACTACAGATGGGTTATACCCAAGCTAAGGAAGAGAGGGACAGAAAACGAACACTGAAATTCGATGCCCAGAAACACTTCTTTATTATTTACATAATTACAATGCCGTTGATGGGTCACTTCTACAAACTCAGAGGTAATGGTGAATGAAGGTGTTGAATGAAGACCAAGTTGCTGCTGAACAAATGCGGTCAGGAGAAATATTTGCTGCAGCTTTCCATGAAGAATCCAATGATATTGTGGAATGGGCCCTTAGACCCAATGGGACCTGAACCTCTGAGGCCTCATATGCCTGTGAAATTGCTGTGATTATCTAGCAACCAATAGTTGCTTGCTGTAGAAGCCGATGGAACTATATGATGACCAGAAGAAATGATAAAGAGGCTTGATGGATTTTCTAATGCCAGATGTATGGTCCAGGTAAATGAAAATAGAACAGACCAAGTCCAGACAATGCCATTTCTTTTCCTCTCCAGATGAGGGAAGAATGCTGGTAAGATAATATCCTAGTTAATATGGAAAGAAGACATGGCCTTGGGATGAAAGGTTGGAATAGTCAGAAGAATAGCTATCCTCTTGCAGTATAAGGAAAGGAGATTTGCATAAAGGAGCCTGAAGTTCTGAAATCCTTCTACCTGAATGTAAGAGCCACCAGAAAAACTGTCTTCACTGTTAAAGTCAATAAGGCAGTATTCTTTAAGGGCTCAAATACCAGAGGCAAGTCCCAGGGAGGAGAGCAAGACCTTACCAGAGGATGCAATTTTAGGACTGAAAATATCTGCATATATTTGGCTCAAATGCCAAATTTGATCGAAGAGGATGGAGAGCAGAAAGCTGCACTTTTAGGGTGCTAAGACCTTTATCAAATCCTTTCTGAAGGACTTGAAGTATATTAATTATACCTGGAAGCTGTTGAGAAATGTCATGAATATTACACCAGCTGCTGAAAATACTCCAAATACAATAATAGACCAAGGATGTTTTCTTTCTTGCTTTAAGCACATTTTTTGACAACCTTTCTTTGAGTTGTTGCTTCTCAACTTCCACACCATCAACTTCAAAGTCTGGGGTGAAGTAACCTATGTTGAAATGACAGATCTAGAGTGAGATCCTGGGATAACGTCTGTAACAGAGGGAACCATGGTCGTCTGGGCTAATACAGAATTATTGCTAGAATGGTCACAGGTTCTTGTTGGATTCTCTTCAACAGAAGAAAAATTAGGTGTTGTGGGAAACACAATATCCCAGATGGAACCTCCACTCGCAGCATAGTGCATCCCTGTCTTCTGCCAAAGGGTCGAAGAAACGCGAGAAGACCCTTCTTACCTTTCTGTTCTGGTAACTTTCTTATCTTTCTGTGTTGCCATCAAGTCTACTTGTGGAAAGCCCCATTTCTGGACTATGCACTTAAATGCTTGGGGAGAGAGCACATTCTAATGGGTCTATGCTCACTCTGCTTAGGTAATCTGCCAAAAGGTTGTCCTTGCCAGGTACATAAACTGCCTTGATGCCCTTCAGATTTTTTTCTGCCCAGGTCATAAGAGGGAGAATAATTTTCATTAGATCTCGGCTTTTCATCCATCCATGGTGGTTTAAATAGGCTACTGCTGAGGTATTGTCTATTCTCACCTTTACCTATTGATTTTTCAGGGAGGGAAACCGGAGAAGAGCTTGAAATACAGCTTGTAATTCCAGGATGTTCCAAGATTGATGTTTCAATCTGCTTTTCCATATACCCTAGATGTGTTGGGAACCTAAGTGTGCACCCCAACCTGACTGACAGGCGTCTGTTAATGTCATCCAAAGGATTGTTCCCAGAGGAAATCCTCAATTGATGTTTTGATCGGTCAGCCACCATAACAGCTCCTTCTTGACTTTGTCTGAAATAAGAATTGGTTGATTCAGGTCCTTGTTCAAATATTGGTATAGGAATTCTATTTGAGGAATTCTCATGTGCCACTGTGCCCATCTCGTCGATGAAAGACTCACTAAGAGGCTCATGACTTCTCTTGCTGAAACCGACTGACGAGAAATCAGATGGAGAATTTTCAATTGGATTCTTAGATTCCTGTCCACGGACTAGAATTTTGTCCAGGAAATGGAAAATGGCGATGCCTTCCAAACGAATATGCGCAATCAAGAAAATTATAATCTTTGAGAAGGTTCTGGGAGCAGTGCTTAGGACGAATGGAAGAGCCCGGAATTTGTAATGTTGATTTACTGTAAATCTGAGGTATTTCTGGTGAGGAAAGGCAAAAGGTACATGGAAGTAGGCATCCCGAAGATCTATGAAGATCATCCAATCCCCTGGAGAGACCACTTTGATGGAACCAACGGATTCCATCTTGAATTTTTTGACACACAATCCTTCATTGAGATCATGAAGGTCTAAAATTGACCTTCGTTCCCCAGATGCTTTCGAAGTTAGAAAAAGTCTTGAGTAATACTCCAATCTTTTTTTTTTTTCTCTTGAAGGAACTTGACAAATGACTGTCTGCTAGGAGAGAGGTCACAAAGGAATTAAGAGCTTTTGCCTTTACTGGATCTTGATAAATCCTGGTTTGCAAGAATCGAGATAAAGAAATGTAGAATTCCAGGAAATATCCTGTACTTACAATTTTTAAGACTCATTTGTCTGGAATATTTTGAGCTCAGATCCTGGAGAAGTCTTACTTCCCCGTACTGGACTGGCGCCCTTCAGAATTGCTTAGACTGCCTGACACTGCCAACTCTCCCAGAGTATTTTTGGAGGAGGAGAAACCACCCTTCCATTTTTGGGATCTGGAAAACTCCTTCCCTAGTCTGTTCCTTCCTATAATCCTTATCGCGAAAGGAGCGTGTGTCTTGTGGATATGATCCTTTATTTGCCTATTTTCATGAAGAAAAGCTTTCCGTCCTTCCACTGCCCTTTTAATGCATTCATCTAAATGTTTTCCAAACAGCATATCCTCCTGATAGGGAAGGGCACATAAGCTATTTTTAGAAGCTGAGTCTGCAAATCAATTTCTAAGCCACAACGCTAGTCTTGAAGCCACCGACAAGACCATGCTTCTTGATAGGGTCTGACTAAATCAATAGAAGCGTCAGAAGTAAATTCAATCAAATTCTTTAGAGAATCCAAAATTCTAGATCTGCTGATCCCATGGGAAAGATCATCCTCAAAGTCTTCCATTGCTTTAAGGCCCTAGAGACAGATGTCAAGACCAGAGCTGGACAAAGCTCAGAAACAGAGGTAATATAGGCTTTACATGAGTTGGAATCCATGCTTCTGTCCATTGGATCTCTAAGTGATCCTGCATTGACAATTGGTACGGTGGTCTTCTTGGCCAGATGAATAATGGCCGCATCAACTTTGGGAACTGACTCCCAAGGAGTACAATCACTAGGCTTAAATGGATAAAATTTAGACAGCCGGCCTTGCAAGGAGACCTTTTGTCTTCCTCTATTCCTCCGTAATCAGATCCTCAATTGTTTTTATGAAATGGAAATGTCGGGGGGTTTTTTTTCCTCACGACTGCAAAATGTTTGCTAGATGCTGGTTGCTCTTCCGTCTTATCCTTTAAATTAAGGATGTTCAGAACTGCCTTAAGAGCTTGGATTTTCTTATGATCCAGGAAAGCTGGATCAGAAGGCATATCATCTTCTGAAGAGGCATTTCCTCATCTGAACTCAAGTCTGGGTTCCATTCAGGACAGAAAGATCTGCGTCTTTTTTCCTAGTTTTCTCTGGTGTAGACCCTCCGTTACAGCTTGATGGATATAGGCTAGAACATCCAGATCCATTTCTTTTATGACCTGCCGCTGCTTTTAAACAGGATATGCAGAGCCTCTTCTCTGGAATAGCCTTATCACATGCTTCACATAAAGGAGTCTTGTCCTTCTTTTTCTTGTAGGAGGATCTATGAGCAGAACTGTAAATCCATATTAGGATAGGAGGAATGCACACTTTTTAATATTTATCTGTAAAATAGATTTATGTATGAATTCCAATAGATTCCAAAAATACCATTCACTTACTGAGAACCTAGAGAATGCAACTTATTTGTAGATGAGTGGCCTAGGAACTCCATTAGATCTGGCAGCTATAAAATAAATCTAGCTTAACCCCTTAAGGACCAAACTTCTGGAATAAAAGGGAATCATGACATGTTACACATGTCGTGTCCTTAAGGGGTTAAAAACCTATATCGAAACTCCCAACACTATAAATGGATAAAAACTAAAACAATCAAATAGAAAAAAAGGAATTAACTGACCAGCAGCAAAATGAATACAAGACTACCTCACCACACCAGCATGAACGAACTCTGGAAGCTCTATTGATTGCAACCAAATATTTTTGTCTAGAACCTGGGGAGATTAGAACCGGAACGACAATTGTCACTTTCTGAGTTATTAAGGGTGCGTTCCAACATAGACTGGGAGAACCGGAATCGTGCATCATTAGGTGCGCATTCCGGCGTGCGTTACACTACCGTAATGCATATACAATCCCCAGAATACACATGAAATTCTATGTAGAGGAAAGAAAGAAACAAGGTAAAGGAGACTCTTAAGCCTAAAGAGGATCCCCAGACCAGCCCCTACAGGTCCATTACCTGGCAATTTATCTTGGGCCATGACATGTCCAGGTAGGTGTACCCATGTAGGGAACTACCACCTATAAAGGGAAAGCCAGAACACAAATTTCCAAGTTTTATCATGTGTACCCATATTAGGGACATTACCACCTTAGTGGGTCTGGCACATCCAGCTGCTACCTGTCTGGTTACTGCAGCATATGCTTCCCGTTCGCTAACGGGATACTCCTCCAGGGGATCGCCCTTGGTGAGGCGCCGTATACTGAGACTTCCATTGGAAGAGAGGATGAATTTCACATAGGTTAGGGGTACGGATGACCCAAGTAAGTCACAAAAGAAAAAGGTGCCAAGCAACCTATGTCCAAAGTGAAGTGGACAGGAAAAAAGACTGAGGGGTAGGAGGAGGCATCTCTCTTTTATTGTTTTGATTAGGTGTTCCTGTCCAAATTGGAAGGGGGTGGAGTTAAACAATCTGTAGTGCTGCCATGGATATATCTGAGAAATATACATATATATTTTTTTTCTCTGCCTTATTAAAATGTCTTCATTAATCCCTGTCTCTCCTTCACCTTTACTCAAATCATGTACTTTTTATATGCTATGCTACCATTCCACATAAGTTTATGTATTATCTTTAAAGTGCCAACATATTCCACAGTACAGTAAAGTCAAACCAGTACAAATGGAATAGACCCGATCTATGAGCCGAGATCTTGCATTTACAGCCCTTTATACACAGTACTAAGCGAACATTATCCTTTGCATTATTGTATTAAATTTCCTTTAGATGGTAAGTCTGTATGAACAGGGGCATCACTGTCGCTTGTTCATGTAAGTCAACCTTGTGTTTTTTTTATTTATTTTTTTGAGTATACTGTATATCATCCACCCTATTGTTCATTGCTGCAAATAATGTTGGTGTGCTTTAAAAATATTTGTTTAAATATATTTATTGCTGAATTAGTTTTTGCACGCATTATAGGATCAAAATCAAACTTGATAAACATAGCTTGTGTTCATTTTAGAATATATGTACACTTCAGTGTTTAGAATTCTGTATCAATTATTGCAGCAACCTCCACATACAAATTGCTATGCAATCCATCCGAGAAGTACAGATCTTCTGGGCAAAAATGTCCTGTGTCAATCAGCAGCTGCTAAGGTCAATAAGTTATTGTCATGTATAAAAAAGGGGCAATAATTCTTGTGCTGAAAACATTTTGCCTCCTTAAAATTCAGTGGTATGACCGCACCTTGAATATGTCATGAAGTTTTGGGGACCTGTTCTAAACAAGGATATTATATTAGAAAAAGAGCAGAGATGGCTCTACAAAAATTAATAAGGGGAATGGAAGGCTTTAGTTACTCACATTGGGCCCTGATACCACTTCTTGCTGTATCCAACCCCACCCCTTAGCCATGCATCTTCTGGTCACAAAGCAACTTCCTTATTAGAGTAAGTGAGAAGTCATTGTGAGCTGTGTTGCCAGTCATTGCCTTCCTATTATTTGCCTCTATTCCTTTTTGCACGACTTTTAAATACTGTACAGATAATGTGAGGTCAGGATCTTTCTTGGGCAGACAAGTAATCATTGATCTGTCATTGGCCGAGCTAGACTGTGTACCTTCCAATCAATAAGAAGGTTTTGTAAAAAGGTGAGGTGTAGCTAAGGGGTTGGTGGAGAATTGCTGCAGAAAGCAGTAAATTATAAAAAATATATTCATTAGACGTAGCAAAATGTAAAGAAATGTGGAAACGGAGAAAATTAAAGCATGAATATAAGGGCAAACCCACCCACCCAAACAGCGGTTTTGTACTATGTCAAGAATACACATTTGTATTTCTTAAACTAAGGTGTTCCCTTAAATTATATTGATGCAAAGAGTGCATTAAGTTACAGGCAATATCTGTTATTCGCCTGAGGAATCTTATCATAAACGTAATCAGGGTTGATTTGATTTTAAATCACTAGTCAGTAAGACTCAGTTTAATACATGATTTTTAAATATAAAGACTGAATTTTGCTAATAGTTGTAATATTTAACACCTTAATGACAGATGCAATTGTACAAGTTCTGACCAAAACAAAACCTAGAATTTGAGCCATGTGTTTGTTCAATCATAATGTAGATCTTTCATATTAAGTGCACCCACACTTGTGTATTATTTTGGTCAGGAGCAATGGGTCTTTCATTTCACATCAAATATTTATATATGAAACACAATTTAATATGAATAAAATAACATTAAAAAGGTTATTTAAAAGTTCTGTGTGGCATTTTAACATTGAATGTCATAATACTGTTAACTTTACTGCAATAAAACACACATTTGTATGCTGTGATGTACCATGAGTACAACAATGCTTCCCATGTAGAGGTGTCATAGT